TTGTTGTTGTTTGTTGTTTTGTGTGTGTGGTACTGGGAATCAAACTCCAGACCTTGCTTTTTTGAGGCAGGCGGTGGAACCACTGAGCTAGACCTCCTGGCCCCTGGTTTGTTTTAAATACATAGTAGAACTTCACAGGTCTTCAACTGCGGGATCTCATTCCATTTCCAAAACAAGACTTGACTTTTTACTTAACTTTTGGTTTCTCATTTGTCTTTTTTCTTTGGCTTGCTATATTTTTTTAAGAGTTCTTCAAACATAGTTTCTTTGTCTGCTTGTTTGTTTGTTTGTTTGCAGTATGGAAATTGATCTCATGTTAAGTCCTCTACCATTGACTTACATTCTTAACCCTTTTAAAAGGTTTTTTGGTTTTGTTTTGCTTGTTTTCATTTTAAGACACAGTCTCCCTAAGTTTCCTAGGCTGGGTTTAAATTTTCAATCCTCCTGCCTCAGCCTCCCGAGTTACCAGTGTTGTAGAGGCATGTGCCACCACACTTGGCTGTCTTTGGTATTTTATTTTATTTTATTGCTGAGTTCAAGTTGGCCTTTAACTTATTATATAGCCCAGGCTGGCCTTGAACTCACAGCAATCTTTCTGCCTCAGCCTCTCAAGTGATGGGATTACAGATGTGTGCCAGCATGCCTGGCTGGTATTTTAAAAGAACACAAACTTTAGAATTTTAGGTTAAATTCTTGACAAAGCCAGTGAATATTCAGCACTTAGATCACTACCTCCCATGCTGCAGGCAAGGTAGACAGCACCAATTGATCATTGTGGCAGGCAGCACCAATCGATAGGGATGTTCTTTCCCACTGAACAAACCTTCAGCACCCTCCAAATGCAGGTCCAAGCAGCCAGTATGAATCAACTACTTTTAACCCAAAAAGCTGAAACATACTTGCCACTGCAAATCTCCAGTGTGACCTTCAGAAATTCCTGGAATCATGGAAAATGACTCAGAATATTTCCCTCAGGGAGTCTGGCCCTACTGAATATGAATTCTTTTCTGCAAACCTACCCACACTGCCCTCCCAGTTCCAGAGCAATTTGGAATCCTTCTAAACCCACCCCCAGAGGAAACCGAAGCCCCAGAGATTAGAAGACTTGCTCAAGGTCACAGGATGGGTGGGCAGAGACCTGTCGCAGTAAATAAGGCAGAAATAAAGTCGACTCTGGAGCGTCCTGGCCCAGGCGTGGGCTGTGTTCCGCACCTCACCAGCTGGGTGACCTCAGGCCTTGTGCCTCAGTTTCCTTCTCCATGAAATGGGTTCATGGGTTCCTGGGGGGATCCATCAGCAGCCTTGGTGGGAACATCTCCAGCTCGGGTGTGGCTCTGACACGGCCCTTCCTGCCCCTCTAAGAGGATAAGCAGAACTAGACAGGTGAGAGCCAGGCCTGGTACTGCATTTCCCTCCCAGGCCCTTCCAGGAGTCAGCTCACCGGATGCCAGGTGGGGCTCACCTAAGAGGCCTGGGGGTCCTCCCTAGCACTGCAAAAATAAAGAAGCAAATAAAAACAAAAAGGTTTCTCTGAACAGGTTCGGTGAACAGGGGAGCTGTTCTAGATCTCCGGGTGGGGAGTTGTCTGAGCCTCCCGCCCTGCCGGAAGTGTGCTCCTTCTCCGCCTGGTGTCGGGGGATCCTGTGCAGGAGGAAACCGGCTGGCCCGGGGTGACTGCAGCAAACAGGCAGCAGTTGTTGCGACAGGCTGCAGCACGAGGGGACTCGCTGTTCCTGTGCGGGGAGCCGCTCAGCCAGGATTCCTTCAGTGCGCTCAGGGACGTCTCCGTGTGTTCGGGCTGCCGGCTGGAGCCCTTGGTGCGACGCAGGAGGGGCGCTGTGCTGTGCGCTCACCCCCCAGACGCACGCGGTGTAAAGCGGCACACGTCCATGCTGACAGACAGATCGGCACGGTGGTCCAGGCGGGGCTCGGGAAGGAACGCAGAGGGAGGCCGAGTGACCGTCACATCACTCCAAGTGGCCACAGCCGTGCCAAGCACTCACCCCCTCTGACCTGGGTGTGCAGATCACCGACTGCATCCTCAGGCGCTGTTAGTTACGATGAAGAAGACATCTGACATCGTGGGGCAGCACGGCGTCCCCACCCGCAGACGGAGATCGCTGGACCCGGACCCGCCCTCTGGGCAGGCGGAGACGTGTTTGAAATAAAGTTTATTGAAGTTTCTGTCGGTATTTACATATGGTACAGGGTGAGTAACAGAGCCAGGACCCCGCCCCGCC